AAGTTATTTTTGTTCTCTGAAGGTCTCTTACCGGCCATTGAACCGCGAGGTTTAATTTTGGTATCACTTCCCCTACCATTTCCCATATAAGCTCCGACTCCGGCCAAACTGCTGACACCACCGGACGGGGGCTGGAATTTGCCGGTAACCGTGTCTATCAGCGATTGTCGTGAAGCGCACTTCACTTTCAGTTTGTGTCCGTCCGCGGGTCGGGCGGACACTATACTAGTCGACGCCAGCGCTGACGGGATCTGGATCTGCGATAGCGATGGTCTCGCAGATGCACTACTAGTGCTCATCGCTCTGTAATCTCTGTCAATAGGAATTGAATCCCAAGAATTAATTTTAGACCTTTTGATAGATTTGATTGATTGATGGATTCGAGAGATTTATTTGCTTCACATAATCTCCAAAAACGATTTAATAGTTGTTTATATAATGTTTGTGACAATTTTGCTCTTAAATCATTTATAGCATATAAGTTCGTTGAAAACAACTGAAAATGCATATACCGTACAGTAATTAATATTAAAGCAATTTTACTAAATTTTGTTGAATAAAAATATACTGTAGTCTTAATGTTAATGATTGCTAACAATTGTAAAAATAGTACAGTATTTATCAAATATTTTATTAACAAAAAACATTTAATTTTTAAAATAAAATTCTTGAGTTAAGCGTTAATTTTGGCTCATTTTTCATTTCTAAATTATTTATTAAAACGAAACATATTATGCAAAGTATAGCAATGTATGCCATAATGTTATTCAAACATAATATTTGGATTTAAAATTATTTTAAATTACAATACACTTGAGTGCAATCGTTTTATATTCTCAAAAACAAAGTTCAGAATATAATGATGATGATATTTTTGGCAAATATTTTAATATAATAAAACTCACAACCGATTAACAAAAATGCAAACTTGAATTCATTGATGAAAAATGACATAAAATAATGTTTTCGTGGTATTTAAAAAATTACTTTTAGTTCAGTTCTCATGTAATATCAATATTTAAAATTAATTCATAAAAGCTCAATTTTATTAACATTTAATTGGATAGATCAATAAAAATATGACATTATGACCATCATCTATTAAATATTTTCAATGCAATGTCAATCTTTTTAATGCATTAAAAATTTAAATAAAGGTAAGTAAACTGATAACTGTATTAACCGTTTGAGTGAATAGTGTATTGAACCAGAAAACGTCAATTTTGAGTTTTATAATAGTATAATGTAATAATAAGTGTGAAAGACATACCTCTGAACAATACTAACTCCTCCCAAATGAGAAGTGATAATTCCGGGCACAACACGGGGTCCGTTAGCTGTGGACAGTTGTCCGCTTCCATATCTG